GGTTGTGGACATGTGTATGGAAGAAATCCACCTTTGTAGCTTTGTTGAAATACTGCCTTTGCATTTTTGGTGTTTTGCGTTTTGTTTTGGCTTTGATTTTTGTTTTCTGCCAGTTCCGTGGCTTGGACTCAGGGACTAAGCTCTGTTCCTTAGCTTTTTCTGCTCAAGCCTCGTGCTCCACCACTTGAGCCACAGCTCCACTTTCAGCTTTTTTTTTTTAGGAGTTTATTGGAGATAAGAGTCTCTTGAACTTTTCTTACCTGGGCTGGGTTTGAACTGTAATCCTCAGATCTCAGCCTCCTGAGTAGCTACGATTACAAACATGAGCCACCAGCACCCTGCTGCTTCTTCCTTGCTAATTCAAGCCACAAAGATTTTCACAAGGAAATGACTGTGAGATCTGAGCACCTGCTCTAAATACTGAATTACCAGGAAACATGAAGACTTACAGACAAATCCTGGAGGAATTGTGAGCGCCATAGGGTAGCATTACATTAAAATCTAGGAAACATGGCACACACATTTACCACCCCACTGTGAATGAGAATGAAGCAGTCATTCTATTCTCTGACATAAGCCAAACTAAAGTTCTTCTTGGGGGGTCAGTGTAGTGGCACTGTAAAGATACTGTAAAGAGGGGTTACATACAGTTACATGAGTAAGGTAATGAGTATATTTCCTATCAAACATTGTTACCCCCTCCTGTGTTTTTCCCCTACTATCCTTTCTTTCCCTCACCTCCCCAACTCCTCCCTCCCTGCCCCTGAAGTTGTAAAGTTCATTTTTTGCTAAAAGCTTGTGTTTTTTTTTTTAGCCATTTTCAATCACATAAATCAGGAAACTCAGTGAACTACTTTCATGGAAATATGTCTCGCATACTTGAAGACTTGTCAGGCTCTCCTGCATCTGTGGTACCATATTTTTATATCACAAGTGGGACAGGGAATATGACAAATTTGCCTTTATAGGGAAAATGAGATCAAAAGTTTAACATGCAGACAGAATGAGAGAAGTCATACACAGGAGAAAAATCTTAGAGTTAATTTATGCTCAGCGTGACAGTGGAAGGAAATGGTCAGCTGCATTAACCATACATTTATTCCCAGCACATACATATTTTATTAAAATTTTCAGTCTGTGTTAGGATAAAATTCAGAGTGCTGCCAAAGAAGATTTTTTTTAAAATATACATTATTGAATGAAATTTAACAATATGACTAGAAGTACTTCTGTATACATTATATGGGACATCAGTTTTAACTAGGAAACTAAGATATATTTTTTTTATTTTTTTTGCTGGTTGTGGGGCTTGAACTCTGAGCCTGGGCACTGTCCCTCAGCTCTTCAGCTCAAGACTATCACTCTACCACTTGAGCTACAGCACCACTTCTGGCTTTTTCTGCTTATGTGGTGCTAAGGAATCAAACCCAGGGTCTCATGCATGCAAGGCAAGCACTCTACTACTGAGCCATCTTCCTAACCTGGAACTAAGATTTTTAAATTAATCAAAATAATGGATGATTTATCCTAAGTGTTTGTTCAGATTTCCTGTCACCAACTTAAACTGTTAATAAGTATTTATATAGCTCACACATTTTCAACTAGAAAGAAAAATATATAAGTACATATATATGCATACATATTCATATATAGAGCTTTATATATATTATATATATATATTTATCCTATAGGCATTCTTAAATTTTCCAACTGTTTAAACATATTCATTATTTACTTCTATTGGCTTCATATAGTCGAAGGAATAAGCAGATGTGTATAAAAACTCTATGATCACCCTTAAGTACAACAAGCTCTTTAATTCTTAAGGATACTGAACTATATAGTTTTGTTGGTGGGAGTGTAAACTTGTTCAACCACTTTGGAAAGCACTATGGAGATTCTTCAGAAGACTCCACATAGAGCTCCCCTATGACCCAGCAATTCCACTTTTGGGCATTTACCCAAACGATCACAAACAATGCTATACTAAAGTAACTAGCACAACTACGTTTATCACAGCATTATTTATCATAGCTAAGATATGGAATCAACCCAGATGTCCCTCAGTAGATGAATGGATCAAGAAAATGTGGTACATATGTATGTATACATATACATATATATACATATACATATATACATACATATATACATATATACACACAATGGAATTCTATGCCTCTGTCAGAAAGAATGGCGTTGCCCCATTTGTTAGGAAATGGAAAGACTTGGAAATTATATTAAGTGAAGTAAGCCAGGCCCAAAGAAACATAGGTCCCATGGTTTCCCTTATTTGAAATAACTAGTATATGTCTAGGACAAGCAAAAAGGTCGAAAGCTATGTACATATCACCATAAAAGATGATGTTAAGCGAAATGAACCCCAAAATAGGGACACAAGTGGTTTTATCTTTCTTGCTATTGATTTTAATGTATTTATAATGTACTATGTGATTTTTTTGGTTTCTTTTTTTTAAGTATTTTTTTATTGTGAAAATACCATACAGAGGGGTTACAATTACATGGGCAAGGTAATGAGTACATTTCTTATCAAGCATTGTTGCCTCCTCCTTTGTTTCCCCTTCCCATCCCTTCCCATCTCCCCCCCCCCGCCCCATCCCCCTGCCCTCCCACCCCCACACCAAAGTTGTAAAGTTCGTTTTTCAACATAACGACTTGTACATCTCATTGTTGCAAATTATACCAACATCAAATACAGTGAAAACAGGGGTTATACCGTGGGGGAGGGACACACAAAGCAACAAAAATAAATGACCTTATAAATATGTTAGAAACAATAGCAAGAAAGAAAAACCACTTGAGTCCTTATCTTGGGGTTCATTTCACCTAACACTAACTTATCTGACCTTTTCTGCTTGTCTCAGACATATACTAGTTATTGCAAATAAGGGAAACCATGGGACCTATGTTTCTTTGGGCCTTCCTTACTTCACTTAATATAATTTTTTCAAGTCTTTCCATTTCCTAACAAATGGGGCAATGTCATTCTTTCTGATGGAGGCAGAGAATTCCATTGCGTATATATACCACATTTTCTTGACCCATTCATTTACTGAGGGGCATCTGGGTTGGTTCCATATCTTAGCTATGGTAAATAATTCTGCAATAAACATAGTTATGCTGGTAGCTTTAGTATGGTCTTGTTTGTGATCATTTGGGTAAATGCCCAAAAGTGGGATTGCTGGGTCATCTTTTGAGGAACTTCCATACTGCTTTCCAAAGTGGTTGAACAAGTTTACACTCCCACTAACAATGCAGTAAGGTTCCCTTCTGTCCACATCCCCTCCAGCATCTGTTGTTACCCAGCTAACCTCTCCTTCATAACTGAAGGTCAAATAAAAACCTTGCATAGCAAAGAAAAACTGAAACAATATATCTCCACCAAACCAGCCCTACAAAAGATACTTAAAGATGTCCTAAGCATAGAAAACCAACAAGACCACAGTAAAGGCCAAGAATCCACATCTAAACTGAGAATCCAAGAACCATAGGAAGAACCCAGTTACTGCAGCCCCCAAGAAGGTGGATAACATGGCAGGAACTCCCAAATACCTCTCAGTCCTAACTCTTAACATAAACTGACTTAACTCTCCAATTAAGTGACATAGACTGTCTAGTTGGATTAAAAAGCAAGATCCTTCTATCTACTGCCTTCAGGAGTCACACCTTGCCCATAAAAACAAACACATTTTGAAAGTGAAAGACTGGAACAAAATCTACCAAGCAAACGGCCCCCATAAACAGGCGGGAGTTGCAATCCTAATATCAGATAAAATAGACTTCAAATTAAAATTAGTGAGAAGAGATAAAGAAGGTCGCTACATATTAATTAAAGGATCTCTCCTTCAGGAGGATATTACAATTCTAAATATCCATTTGCCAAACAAAGGAGTACCCAAATTTATCCAAGAAACACTACTTTCCCTCAAATCCCACATTGATCCAAAGACATTAATTTTTGTTTCCTTTGTATGTTCTTCCCCCATGGTATAACCTCTGTTTTCACTGTATTTGATGTTGGTGCCCTGCATCTTGTATATACATTCTTCTAATTTGGGGAGGGGAAGGGAAATAACAAAATGTTGAAATAAGGATCCAGGTTGACCCATTGTAACAATGAGAAGTACAAGACACTATGTTGAAAACGAACTTTACAACTTCGGGGGGGGGAGGGGAGGGAGTTGGGGAGGTAAGAGGGAAGGGATGGTAGGGGAAAAACAAAAGAGGAAGTAGCAATGCTTGATAGGAAATGTACTTTTTACTTTACTCATGCAACTGTAATCCCTCTGTACAGTATTTTTACAAAAAAAATATATAAAGAACTATATAGTTTTGCCAGGTGCTCAGTGTTCACCTGTAATCCTACCTACTCAGGAGCCTGAGCTCTGAGGACCAAGGTTTAAAACTAGCCTGAGCAAGAAAGTCCATGAGACTCTTCTCTCCACTTAACCAGCAAAAAGCCAGAAGAGGAGGTATGGCTCAAGTGGTAGAGCATCAACCTTGAATGGAATAAAGCTAAAAAAGAACTTAAGGCCTTGATTTCAAACCCTAGTACTTGTTACACCACACACACACACACACACACACACACACACAGAGTTATATGTTTTCATAAGCTTTGAGAGTGTTTTGTATAACTGTTTATTCTAGAAAAGCATAAGGACAAATCCTCATTTGTTTATTGAAATAATCTACCTTAAAAGTTCTCATTCTTGCTCATGTAATTGTAACCCCTCTGTAAAGTATTTTCACAATAATAAAAAAAGTTCTCATTAAACCCATAACTTAGTATCTTAAATATTTACTATGATACATATTCACTGATCTGAACATTCATCCATTTTTAATCTTATCAGCAGATTAGGCTGGCCACATGAAGCACTGTATTTTTTATACAAGTTAACAGGGAATTGCTATTTAAAGCTTCTGTAAACAGAAATCCTGACACGCTCTGTCTCTCATTTTTCACAATGACATACAGATCAAAAACATCCATCAACTTCTCCAGTTCAGCATCTTTCAGCGGGACCCTGCTGGCAAGAGCATTCTGGATATTAAATCTAAATAAGAAAGATATTGAAATGGAATATTCCGCAGAAAGGAAAACCACTGGCTCTCATAACACAATAGGTATAGATGAAGAAGGTCAGAGCTAAATCGGGAATAACTTCAGCTTTCATTTGCCAGACATTTGGTAATATAAGAATGAGAAAATGACAACTTTTTATTTTTGATTTTGAACAATATGGTAAATCTAGTACATATATAAGTCCTATAGATTACATAATAATGTATAATATATTATAATGTGAGATATTATAAACCCTACATAATTATGTCATACATTATATCATACGAAATTGATAATATATATTATTTCACACACATATAATATTATGTTTATTATATGTGCATATATAACATATTTATTATGTACATTCATATAGTATATTTATTCATATTATACTGTACACTAGATATAATATGTATGAGTATATTCATATATAATACTAATATGTTTCCCTTTCCCAGATTCTTACTCCATTCAAAAAACTTTTCCATCATATTTATATATTCTTTCCTTAAAGATGTTTCCTTGAGATATGATTTCTGCCCAGAAAATAAGTTTCTAAATGCCAAAAACCTATTCATTTGATTGGTAATTACTGAACATCTGTGCTCAGATGCTGTGGAGACAGCACCCATAGCTATGGACGGCATGGACACACCTTTCTCCAGCACAGGCTCAGCCTTTGTTCACGGCCACCAGTGGGGGCCAAACCCACGCAGGGAGCAGGGACCAGTGGGCATTCCACTCTACCCACCAGGCACAGCACTGTGCACAAACAGTTAGATTGATATGACATCACTGTGTTTCAGGGACTCAAATTTGCATTTAAAACTTGGGGTTTTCCTGTTAGATCCACATCGAACAGGAGGCTAATGCTGCTGCTTTTCTGTTTTTATATTGATCAAATTCTCTTCAAAAAAAATAGACAATATTTTAGGAAATAAAATGAAACAGACTGACCAAAAGTAAATGAATGCATCATCTATCAGGTCTTGATGAAGTAGGGAAATATGTCTCACATGAAATATTCTAACACAAATTCCCTATGCAGCGCAAAGGACACGGATGAGGAATAATGACACATGCTTAGAAAAAAATACACAAATGACACCCTAAAACCACTCATATTTGTCTCCTGTTACATCGCCACTGAGAAGAGAAAAACCACAAAATCTAACAAAGAATCCAGTGCAACATTTGCTCTGTTTGGGTTTGGGTTTTTGTTCTGTTTAGTAATGCTCATATTGGAGCTTGCGCATTCAGGACCTGGCTGATGTCCTTGAACTTTTTTTGGTAAAGGCTGGTGCTTTGCCATCGGAACCCCAGCTCCATGTCCAGTTTTTCACCGGTTCATTGGAAATAGGAGTCTCCTGCCTAAGCTGCCTTTGAATTTTGATCTCAGATGTCAGCCTCTTGAATAGCTCAGATTATAGGAGTGAACCACTTATGCCTGGACAATTTTTTTTTTACCTTTTCTGTAGCATATTCTGTCCATCACTCTTACTTGTCAAAGAGAGTTGATGTAAAAGAAAGTAACATGAGCTCAAAAGTCATTAACCACTATAGTGAGTTCACCAGTGGCCAAGCTGTCAGAGCTCCGTAGTTCTTGCCCTCCCTTCTTTCCTTCATTCTTCCTTCCTCCATACTCTGCTATATCCAGTGTGTGGCATGAATCTGTGAAAGTTAAGTAAACTTTCCAGTTTGACTTTCTGAGCTGCTTTTGCTCAAGACCAGTGGTCTACCACAGCCCTGTTTCCTTTTGGTAGTTTAGTGGAGATAAGAGTCTCCCAGGACTTTCGTGCCCTGACTGGCTTGGAACCGTGATCCTCAGATCTCAGCTTCTTGAGTAGCTAGGATGACAGGCCTGAGCCACCAGCACTGACTTACCCTTTTTTCTGAATCAAATAATCCACTGAACTCATTGTGATCACTCCCAAAGAATACATCATATAAACACGTTCACTGGTGGCTCTATGCCTATAATCCTAGCTACTCAGGAGGCTGAGATCTGAGGATGGAGGTTCCAAATTAGTCTGGGCAGGAAAGTCCCTGAGACTCTGATCTCCAGTTAATCACCAAAATCTGGAAGTGGAGCTGTGGTTCAAGTGGTAGAGGGCTAAGCTTGAGCATAAAAGCTCAGAAACACTGTTCAAGCTCTGAGTTTAAGTTCCAAAACCTATGTGCGCACACGTACATGTGCACACACACACATCACACACACACAAGAATACATTATGTAACAATAGTATAAATCATTTTTAAGTGAAAATGTTTTTTGTGACAGCAAGAAGAGTAAGATAGGATAAATCTATCTATATATATATATTAGGCAGAATTTTCCCTACCCAGCCTTATCATCTAAATGTTGAAACCTGATCAAATACACACACATATGCGCGCGCGCGCGCGCGCACACACACACACACACACACACACACACACACACTAACTCATTCATTTTAATGGGAAAATATCTTAGTTCATTTGTGCTGCTGTAACAAAATACCTTAACTGGCTAGTTTATAAAGAACAGATTGCAAAGGTGATGTACAGAAGGGCTCCAGTTACATGTCAGGTAAAGAGTACATTTCTTTTTTGACAATGTCACCCCTTCCCTCACTCTCTCCCAGTTTTCCCTCTTGTCCCCACCCACAAGTTGTATAGCTCATTTTCCATGTGGGGTCTAGTGAACACCACTGCTGGCATTTGTTCACCCTTGATCCATCCATTTCTGTGCATCTCTTTAATCTCCAAAGATAAGTATAATAACAAACAAAAGTAAAAGACAACAAAAACAGCAGCAACAACAAAATATCTCCTGTTTCCATTTCTTGGAGTTCATTTCAATAACATCATTTTATATGATCATATGCCCATAAGCTATTGTGTCTTTGTGATCTTCTCCTAAGAATACCCTCCTTTGGTATTATTATGTGAATGCCTAGAGACCTGTAAAATTTATCATGTCCAAATGTACCACTGCTGTCTTTTACCATCCAGTGTGTTTTCTTGTAGATTTATAGGCACATTCTCATTATGACAAATAAAGGAAACCACTCAACCTATGTTTCTTTGGGCCTAGCTTACTACACTTAATTTAATTTTTTTCCAAGTCTTTCCATTTCCTTATGAATGGTACAATATCATTCCTTCTGATGGAAGTGTAGATATAGATATATCAATATATATGTCTATATATCAAAAAATTTGATATATATATCGATATATATCACATTTTCTTGATCCATTTGCCCACTGATAGGCATCTGGGTTGATTCCATATTTTAGCTATGGCAAACAATTCTGCAATAATCATGGTCATGCTGGTAGCTTTAGTGTGGCCTTGTTTGTGACCATTTGGATAAATGCCCAGGAGTAGACTTACTGTATCATAGGGAAGCTCTTGTTTAGTCTTGAGAAACTTCCACACCGCTTTTGTTTTAGTATTTCTTATACAATCTTTGGTTAGAAACCAGTAACCCTGTGTGGATGTGTAAAATGCCATTGGAATCATAAAAATGAACCCTAGTTAATAGGAAAAAAGATGAGTTACTCCCCCCGACCTTAGCCCTTGCCTTGTTTTTCAATGACCTTTGGTCAGAAATTGAAAAGCCACACACCTTTTAAAGATGGACTTATTCATCCAGGAGAAATGATTTCAGCAAAATAATCATAATAAGGTATTTACTACCCTTGTTAAAGTTCTAACAGTATGCAGTGTTTTTCAAAACGAAATTGCTATTGGCAGCTTCCTTAATTAAGTGCTTTATAGTTTAAGTGAAAACTTGATACTTCAGGGGACATAATTCAGCAACAATTGTCACTAGGGTGAGTCCTTGTTAGCACACCCAAACTGTGACAGTTCACACATACATGTCAAGCTTGTCAAAGTCTAATGAGACAAAAGCAGAATTACAATAAACTGAAGAGACCACAGTTCAAACATTTCCTTTGCTTAGCGAAAGCAAATACAGATACCCTGTGAACTGATTCTTTTAGCCAAAATAGTATTTGCTTTGTTGGAAAAGCATTAATCCCATCAATTTATACTGAGATTAAAAACCATGGTACATGTAAGGTGTCATTTCTACAGAAGGTATAGCAAATCATCTCTGAAATTCCCAGTAAATTAGATTTCCTAAAATATTCAAGTTTTAGCTAGATACCCATGGTTAACACCTGTAATCCTAACTACTCAAGAGGCTGAGATCTGAGGATCACAATTTGAAGCCAGCCCTGACAGGGAAGTCTGTGAGACTCTTATCTCCAGTTACCCACCAGAAAACCGGAAGTGGAGCTGTGACTCAAAGTGGTAGAACTTTGAACAAAAGAGCTCAGAGAAATCAACAACAAATCCTCACAGAAACAACTGCCCAGTTAAGAAGTGAGCTAAAGACTTACAGAGAGACTTCTCTGAAGAGGAAATAAGAATGGCCAATAGACACCTGAAGAAATGCTCAACCTGTCTAGCCATAAAAGAAATGCAAATCAAAACAACATTGAGATACCACCTCACTCCAGTTAGAATGACTAAAGTCAAGAACTCTAATAACAACAGATGTTGGAGGGAATGTGGACAGAAGAGAACCCTACTACATTGTTTGTGGGAATGTAAACTTGTTCAACAACTACTTTGGAAAATAGTATGGAGGTTCATCAAAAGACTACATACACATATGATCTAGCAATCCCACTTTGGGGCATTTACCCAAATGATCACAAACAAGACCATACTAAAGCTACCAGCACAATTATGTTTATCGCAGCATTATTCACCATAGCTAAGATATGGAACCAACCCAGATGTCCCTCAATAGATGAATGGAATTCTCTGCCTCCATCAGAAAGAATGGCATTGCCTAATTGTTAGGAAATGGAAAGACTTGAAAAAAATTATATTAAGTGAAGTAAGGAAGGCCCAAAGAAACATAGGTCCCATGGTTTCCCTTATTTGCAATAACTAGTATATGTCTGAGACAAGCAGAAAAGGTCAGATAAGTTAATGTTAGGTGAAATGAACCCCAAGGTAAGGACTCAAGTGGTTTTTCTTTCTTGCTATTGTTTCTAACATATTTATAAGGTCATTTTTTTTGTTGCTTTGTATGTCCCTCCCCCACAGTATAACCCCTGTTTTCACTGTATTTGATGTTGGTATAATTTGGGGAGGGGAAGGGAAAAACAAATTGTTTAAATAGGGATAAAGGTGGACCTATAGCAACAATGAAATGTACAAGATGCTATGTCAAAAAACAAACTTTACAACTTTGGGAGGGGGGTACAGAGGGCAGGAATGGTAAGGGAGGAGGCAATAATGCTTGATAAGAAATGTACTCATTACCTTGCTCATGTAATTGTAACCCCTCTGTATGGTATTTTCTCAATTAAAAAACTTATTAATAAAAAAAGAAAGAAAGAACAGAAACAAAAGAGCTTAGGGACAGCACCAGGCTCTGAGTTCAAGTCCTTGGACCAACAAAAATTGGGGGGGGGGAATTCAAGTTTAGCCAGGAACCAGAGGCTTTTACGCCTCTAGCTACTGATGAAGCTGAGATCTGAGGATCACAGTTCAAAGCTAGCCAGGGCAGAAAGACCTTGAGATTCTTATCTCCAATTAATCACCAAAAAGCCAGAAGTAGAGATGTGGCTCATGTGATAGAGCATCAGCTTTGAGCAAAAAAGGCAAAGGACAGCACCCAGGCCCTGAATTCGTACTTCAGCACAAAAAAGAAAAAAACAAATTCAAGTTTTAGATATTTTCTTATAATAAAAGCATATTATATGTTCTTATATATGAATGTATAAATAGTGCATCAAAAGCAATAGAAAGAAAACGACAATTTGACAGGGCAAATTTCTACAGTGCTTGCTCAGTATGACTCATTCATGGATCTTTACTCTCCCAACTAAACTTGACAGTAGATTATGTCTTTCCAAAATCCAAGTAAAAATTTGATTGGGATTGCTCTTTATTTACAGGCTAATTGGAGAAGTGACATTTTTCTGATATACTCTATTGTTGTTTGGGAGGTGATATACAGTGCGGTTACCTTTACATATGTCAGGTACGGAGTACGTTTCTGTTGTCATAGTGTCACCTTTTACTCTCTCCCATTCCCTCTTTCCCATCTCCCCCCACGAGTTGCATAGTTCACTTTCATCAATGTCCAGTGTACTCCATTGCTGAACTTTTTCACCCTTTTTCCTCAAATTCCGTGCCATCCCCCACCCTCCCACAGAGGTGCAAGTGAATACACCATATATAAAGTAAAGAATACAGTCATCAGAAAAAGAAAAAGCAAATTAAGGAAAAAGTCCTTTGTTTCCATATCTTTGGAGTTCATTTTGGTACGTATATTATTTTATATACAAACGAAGAGGTGCTTGGGTATTAAAACTTGGTGATTGTCTCCTAAGACTATCCTTTTTTGCTCTCATTGTCTGTGAGTATCTAGAATCCGGTGTAATTTGTCATATCCCAGTGCATTTTAGATCTAATTTCCACATACCAGGGAGAACATAGGCCATTTGTCTCTTTGAGCTTGGCCTACCTCACTTTTTTTTCTAGCTCCATCCATTTCCCCCAAATGCTGGTAATTCATTCTTTCTAGTGGCTGTGTAGAATTCCATTGTGCCTAGGTACCACCTGTTTTGGATCCGCTCATCTGGGTTGTCTCTACATCTTAGCTATTGTGAATCATGCAGCAATGAAAGAAGTGACATTTTTACAACATGAAGTCGTGCTGTCCAAGTGCCTAAAATGCCAGTTTATCTGCAGAATATCTTTTTTTCTGACTTTGACTAGAATTTGGAATCATTCCACCTTAGTGGACTTGTTTGGCATTGTACTTGCTAGGCAGGTATTTTAACACCAGATCCTTGCACCCAGTCGTTTTTGTACTGGGCCTTTTGGAGATAGGGTCTC